TCAATTTTCCCAATTCTTCTTCTTAAAACCCTAATTTTTGTAATCTAAATTATCTGTTTATTCTGCTCTCGATTTCTGCAACTTTGCCCTAGAAGAAAAACCCTTACTTTTCATCAAGCTCGAGTTTTGCGTTCTGGTTCATTGATTTGATGGGTCGTGGCTCAGTGACGTCGCTCGCTCCTGGGTTCCGTTTTCACCCAACGGACGAAGAACTCGTTCGCTTCTACTTGAAGCGTAAGGTTTGCAACAGACCCTTTCAGCTCGATCCTATTTCAGTCACCGATGTATACAAATCCGAGCCTTGGGATCTACCAGGTTACTACTTTTCCCATCTCTCTTTTGTAGTCAGATCGAATTTTGTGTAGCTCGATTTATGATCCAGAATTATGTTTGATTTTGATTTTTTTTTGTTTTTGTGGGTGGTGGATTTAGTCAAGTCGAAGCTTAAAAGTAGAGACTTGGAATGGTACTTCTTTAGTATGCTTGATAAGAAATACGCAAATGGTTCGAAGACGAATCGTGCGACGGAGTTAGGTTACTGGAAGACGACTGGGAAAGATCGGGAGATTCTTAATGGTTCAAGAGTCGTAGGGATGAAGAAGACACTTGTTTATCACAAGGGTCGTGCTCCTCGTGGTGAAAGGACTAATTGGGTTATGCATGAGTATCGGCTTTCTGATGAAGTCCTGGAGAAAGCTAAAGTACCACAACAAGTAAGCTTTGGGTTTCTTATAATTTCCCCTTTTTGATCTGAAAGTTGTTTCTTTTCCTTGAGTTATTGACTTGGTTGAGTCGTTGTGGTGGTTGGTGGAGTAGGATGCATATGTGCTATGTAGGATATTCCAGAAAAGCGGCACGGGGCCTAAGAACGGGGAGCAGTACGGTGCTCCGTTTATTGAGGAGGAGTGGGAAGAAGATAAAATGACATATGTACTACCAGAACAAGATGCTTTCAGTGAAGGATTGGCTTTTGATGATGATGTTTATGTCGAGGTTGATGGCATTGACGAGGTTGGTATAAGAAGTAGATATTATCTCTTTATGTTTAATGTATAGTGTAAGAGTAACTAGTGATGTGGTACGAAAAATGGTGTGAGATGCGAAAGAGTGATTAGCGGTATGCTTATATATTGCCCTTTTTGCTAATGTGCTCGTATAGTATACATGTTTAGGTCTTGGCATGTTGATGATAATAGTATACATGGCTTGTCTTTTGTATGAGTGTCTGCATCTGGTTTTCTTTTGCAGAAGCCCGAAAATATGGTGGTATATGATGCGGTTCCTATTGCGTCTAACTATTGTCATGGAGAATCAAGCAATAATGTTGAATCTGGAAACTACTCAGACTCTGGAAATTACATTCAACCAGAAAACTATGTGGTTGACTCTGGTGGCTACGTTGAACAGCCAATCGAAACTTTTGAGGAAGATCAGAAGCCTATCATTCGGGATGGTAGCATTCAGCCTTGTTCTCTGTTTCCGGATGAACAAATCGGCTGTGGTTTGCAAGATGAGAACGCGGTGAATCTGGAATCTTCCAACAATAATGTGTTTGTGACTGATACTTGCTTCAGTGACATTCCTATTGATACCAACTATTTGCCTGACGACCCATTCATGGATCCTAACTACAATCTTCCTCTCGACGATGGTCTGTACCTGGAAACAAATGATCTCGGCTTTGCTCAACAAGATGGTTTTAACATTGAAGATTATATAAACTTCTTTGATTATGAGGATGCTCAGAATTTTACTCTCGATGATTCTCAATTGATGGGATCTGAAGATGCTCTTCCTAACCAAGAAAGCCTGGACCAGAAAGTAAGAGTCTTGCTTTTGATTGCTTGGTTTTTTTATATGTTAAAGCCCTCTTTAACTTACCATTACTCCAAAACAGCCTTTCCCTGAAGAATTGGAGAAGGAGGTCACAGAAGGCAAAGTGGCAGTGGAGAAAAGTGAAAGTGGCGAAGAGGCTGTTGTGAAAAACGAAAGTGGCGAAGGATGTTCTTCAAAACAAGATGCAGATGTCACAGACTTCGATTCAGGTAACAATCACATATTCATAGATTCCTCACGAAACAAATCATTTGATGACCGATTCTAACACTTGTGGAACTAAATATTGCAGCTTCAAAGTACCCTTTTCTCAAAAAGGCGAGCCACTGTTTTGGAGGCATCCCTGCTCCACCATTTTCTTCGGAATTCAAAACAAAGGACTCTGCAATCCGTCTACACGCAGCACAATCTTCAGGTTCGGTTCATGTCACCGCAGGTATGATCAGAATATCAGACATGACTCTATCAGCGGATAGCTGTATGGGCTGGTCATATGACAAGAACGGTAACCTCAACGTAGTCCTTTCTTTCGGTTTGGTCCAACGGGATGATGGGATGAGTTCCACCGGAAGCAAGACAGGAAATACAGCGACAAGAGCTATGTTGATCTTCATATGTTTATGGGTTCTCTTACTCTCTGTTAGCTTCAAGATAGGAACCGTTGTCTCTGCTCGGTGATAGGATCAAAAGTCTT